ATTGTTTAGGATCAAGAAAGTAAAATATAATGGAAGTATGAACACATAGTCAAGACCAAGAAGAATATTTATATATCAAAATAGAATGTGTACTAGATTAGCATTAACTTATCTAAAATATGCTCAAATACTGTGAATTTGTGTGATTGATGCTCAATTCACCTTAATTTCATTTTGCCTGTGTATATATAGAGAAAACACATGTATAACGCATGTGTTAGAAAAATGTGTTAGAAATTGCATGTAATTCACATGAGAACTGAGAAACATGTCAACAATCATGGTAATTGGACAAATAGGAGGACATTTTGAAAAATATTTAATACAGGCACCATGCCTTTTACATGTAGTAATCACGCATGTATCACAGGTGTATTTCCTTACGCATGTGATTCACATGTGAAACGCATGATCACATGTGTGTATCATGCGTATCACATGTGTTTTTCACACATGTGTCACATGCGTGGCATGAAACGTCTCTTTCACATGCGTGTGACACACATGTGAAACGCATGTGTCACGCATGTACACATGTGTGGCATTTTTGCCAGTGTATATGCGTAAAATGAAATAGGTCTATATATGCATCATCAACATGATACCATGTTCACTTCCTTTTACAAAGCACCTCTCTAGCTGTTCGGTGTGAGCCAAGGCTCCGTGTTGAAGGCCGTACTTTGACCTATAATTGTTTACTTTTTACACATTTTGACTTGGATGGATAGTTGTCTCATTTTGCACTCATACAACATCTTCTTATTTATCTGTAATATGCATACAATAAATTAGGTCTGTATATGCATTTACAATGAAATAGGTTTGTATATGCATACAATAAAACAGGTCTGTATATGCATACAATAAAATCGATCTGTATATTCATCATCAACATGATATGATGTTCACTTCCTTTAACAACGTACGTCTTTTATGTTGGAAATCGGTCTGTGTATGCATACAATAGAATAGGACTGTATATGAATATGCAATTAAATAGGTCTGTTTATGCATATAATAAATTACGACCATCGTTCTGACTTACCAACTTACTGTTTACCAAATTTACACTGTAGTAAAATACACTTTATAAAGTCTTGCAAGTATCAGTGCAAAATGTGGTGTAGTTAGTACCAGTTGAGTGACCGTTGTAAGTCTGGGGTATGCAGTATTTGCTTTGCAAGTCAGATATCCTTTGTTTCCACATCCCTTGTGAGGGCATGTTGACGAAAGGCCTGGTTAGGACGAATACACATTCCTCACTAGCAAGTCTTTAAGGTTTTTGGACCTACGCAAAGCCAGTACCGGTGGCTCGGGGAAAATTGTGTATTATAGTTAAGGATGTTTATGTATAAAAGGTCTAGATATTAGTCAACGATTTTTCTAACGAAGGTGTTGGATCGTTATTAAAATCGATACTGTACACAATAAATGTATATGAAGAAAAGTTTGTTGTTATTGCATATAATCATATATATTTATCCAACGCAATCATAGGTTTGAACGTTGTTTTCTATTTAGACTTATTTTTACTTTAAATTTTGGTTTGGGCTTGCATTATATTTGCCTTCGGGTTTATATGATCCGTTCATCCTATTTCGACTTTTCAAAATTCAAGAGTCTATTATAAATTGAGGTAAATGATATGTCCTTCCAAATACCGTTTCGATTCCTAACATCACTGAAGAGACATTAATTGTCGAAATCCGGATATGGTGTACAAATTTTTAGCACCTCATGTTTGCGGTATACCAACTTTTCCGCAAGTTTATTGTTTTCTGTTTGGTATTAGATTAATAATAAAGATCCATTTTGTTACATCTTGTGATCCGTTTATTTGGCAATCGCCAATGGCAGTCAGCAGGGTTTAAGAACATCCGTTGGTCGACCTGTTAGTCAAATGCGTTTTGTTTAGATATACTTTTTCACTTTTTTGGTCTTTTGGAAAAAAAAATTTGTGCTGTAGACCCCTCTACGAAGAAATTTGTTTTGTGTGCACACGTATAAAAATTGCGGTTTTTATCCAACGCTATCATAGATTTGAACGTTGTTTTCAATTTAGACTTAATTATATATATTTATATATACACGTCTAAATAGAGCTTTCTTACAATTTAACAAAAGGTACGTACGGTTGACGAATCATACGTATGATCCGTTTAAAGGATCCTTTATTTACATATGATATGTTTACGTAATCGTAATCATGATAGTCATGGGACTTCGATGTTCTTCAAAAGAAGTTCCCACAAGAATTAGAGATTGTTCAAAATCACTTCCCCACCCCCAAAAACAATTACATCTTTCCATTATTTAATCTAAGAAAGTAACAAGGCAAATATATTGGACCCCCCCTTTCCAAAAAAAAATTAGAAAAATAAAAAACAAACCCTAAACTTCCTTAACTCTAAATATACAAAATCCCCAAAAATGGTAAACACTAACACCCAAAATTATTGTTGGGCTCGTTTTATAAGTCTTGTAGATATTCTCGTAATCTTTCTTTCATCGTGTAATTGTGTCTTGTGCCAAAAATGTTTACTGTTTTAAAATCATCAGTATCAGAATGTATATAGTGCAGTATTGTTTATGTGGTTTTTTTTTTTATGTACATTCTGATGTAATATTGTGTATGTAAATGAACAAATCAAGATCTATAATAAGCTGATCAATAATTAGAGCTCATTGGAGGATTAAGGAGTGAGGCGCACCCGATGTGTCTCTACATCTAAGCCAAAGACTTGTGAATTTTGACTTTAAATTTAGAGCATCATACTCCAAGAATGTCTTAAAAATAGTAATGGTGTAAACATTAAGCAAAATGCATGCTTCTTATTGTTATATTGAACAATTCCCGTGCAAATGTGTGTAATCACGGTTATCATAAGCAACGTATCGGACGTAAGTGTACTTTATACTATTTTCTTTATTTTCAAATCTTAAGTGCGTAATTGAGTTTTGATATGCTTAAATATTTAATGATAAATTTTATTTAGAAAAGAATGTCGTTTTATCGGATTAAACATACACTGTTATTGTTATAGTGGGAATGCAATACATGCTTCCTTAACGTTCTTTCGTTAAAATGTAAAAAAGCTCTTAGATGTGACATATTTTCAATCAAAACGGTTGTATGTTAGGATCCTCAAACACATGTTTTTTGTTTTTATAGGAAGAAGAGATGTGTGGGACTGGTCAGAAAAAAAGGATGGAAGTTCAGATAATTTCTTGTTCCACCTTTTTATACTCGAACACGTTTTACTGTTTCGAGAAACAAAATATTGGCGTACCCGATGAAGGTTATTAAAGAAATACCTTTCTAATATTCGGCTTTAAGCGTTCCTGCTTGAGGTAAATCCAGAAAAGCGCTTCTGACGCATGAAAATATTTATAACTTGTATTTATAATTTGTTGTTACTGCTTCAAAAATTCATTCACTTATAGCTGTATATTATAGTATTACTAACTAAAGGAAAACGTTTTCCTTTTTAGCAAAATATAGGAAATAAGGATAAAAAGTAAGAAAAAGCTCCCAAAAAAACACTAAATATGGCTTGCTCTGTCTACTAATATTCATAGTAGAGCCCTATTTCAAGGCAATTTTCTCTTAAAATGTGTTTTTGAGACTCAATCTAATCAGAATATTTCATTTTTGCAATATTTAACTGAACTAGCTTGACATTTTAACAAATGAGAGTACATTACAAGGTCTAAGGTGCATGTGCAGCTTCCCATTTAGGAGTAATACCACCATTATTTTTCTCCTATTAGTCTTTGTTAAATAGGCAATTTTCAAAAAAATGTTGAGAATTTATCTTTGTTTCAAATAAAGAACTACTTGTCATGAGTAAAGTTTTATCCTGTCCAGTACTACCGTGAAAATTGCACATAACATTTCATTGCATATAAGATAATTACCATCACCGGTTGTAAACCAATCAAATTTTCACCCCTTTTTTCCTGTTTATAGAAACACCAATTAAAAAAAATGGTGCTTTGAAACACCCAAGATATATGTTTATGACTTAGAAATTTTTTACTGCAATATAATGTAGGATTAACTTCCTACAACTGTCAAATTCAAGGGAATATTTTTTTCGACCCTTTTTCGTATGAAACCGGATGTGACGTACTTTAATTTGGTGGTATTACACCTAAAGAAGACCTTGTTGTTGAATAATCTAAATGTGATTTTTTTCCTTAGTAATACTGGTTATTTAAAACATTACTGTCAAGTTTTGTCATAGTCAGTTCAATAGTTTGAGAGAAATCAAGTATAATGTAAGACGACATCTACAGCGATTTGAGCAAAATTTCTTCGAAAAATCCAAATCAAGCCGCATCATGATAGAATATAGTGTGGACCAATTAATGATAAAACATTCATATCATCTGCATACAAACAGTTGAATATGATACACAGGATGACTCTAAGATGATAAATACCACTAACAGACCTCTTTGTCTTCAGTATAAGGCCCTTTTGGTCAATGTATACCTCTCATTTCTCCAAAATTCAACTTTTAGGCTAATAAATCAAAATTTTGGGGTAGCTATACCCAATTTATGCAAAAATGTGATAATAAATGAGTAATTGAAGTGTTCAAGCTGAATGAACTATTCATATAAAAGTTTACTGACTCCATGAAGGTTTCCATTCTCAATTTTATTCAAAAAGTCCATAGGTAAAACCTAAATTTCACCTCAAGTTTCCAAAATATTTTAAAGAAACACCAAATAAAAAAAGAATGGTCCCAAGGTATATGTGTATGACTTAGAAATTTTTTACTGCAATGAAATGTAGGATTAATTTTCTACAACTGTCAAATTCAAATTGGTGGTATTTACTGTGTTTCAGCATGTTTTAATTTGCATTTATTTTATACATGACGAGGTTTGATCTGACTTCAGTCTACTTTCAGATTTCTAACAATATGAAATAAGAGAGGGAAACAAAAATGAATACCAACGCAGAAATAAAAACAACAAAACTAAGTATATACTTTGATGTTTCTATATTATGAAATATATTTTAAATTTCATCAATAAAAAATCAATAATTTCACATTTGTTAGCTCAAAATAGCCTTTACGGTTCCTTTTATGAATGCTCTACAAATTGGACATCTCCTAAGCGCAGGCGCACAGTTTGTGCAGGCAGCTAGATGACCACATGGAAGAAAAACTATGGCTATTGGTTCGTCTAGACATATTTTACATGTCTGTTGATCTTTCAGGTTTTGATTTTCTTCTTCTAAGCTTCTTATCGACACTGAAATATAATTTGAAACAGATCACTGAATAATCCACTAAAGTCAATATCATATTATAAAACATATCAAAAGTTATGATATTAATCTATTGTTTGATCCATTTCATGAAATTTATTTCCAAATTTGGCTTTTGAAGGTAAAACAAATTCAACTTTTGTAGACGTCCGGTAAAAAAAGAAATTAATTTCGTTTATTTTTTTTCAACAGGGTCGTCAGCGGTGCTGGTGGTTTCTCTAATTTTTTTCACTATTTTCACATTTCCCAACCGAATGTGAAAAAATTATTCCCCTCACTAGTGAAATATCTGTTCTCGGCAAACAATTGGTCGAAATTTAATTATGACGTCATATGTTCTTGGTTTCTTCTGAATTTCCTATTGTGACGTCATGAAAAATGGCGACCATGTATGATGTCGTCACATATAAAGAACACAACTTTCTGCTAATCTTTGAAAAGGAAGGATAAAAATCATTAGAGGAACAGATTCCACCACTATAACTCGTGTATTACGATATTTCTCCACTCTCAACAGTTAAATTTTAATTATTTAAAAAGCTCGGCAAGCCTCGCGCTTTAGATATTAAAATTTAACTGTCTCGAGAGGAGAAATATCGTAACACACTTGTTGCTGTGGTGGAATCTATAATTGCCAGTCCCCGAGTGCTACGGTACTTGCATGATTTGATAAAACCATCGGAAAGGTAATATTCAATTTCTAAATAAGATAATTGTTGCTATTTCTATTGAAACGTACGCTTTAAATCCATCAGAAAGAGTTAACCTCAGATTCTTTTGGCTTTGCTGTTTAAAACCGTACTATCAAATATTATTCCTAAACCTGTTTGTATCGAGCGTAGCTGATTAAGGATAGTATTACGTCTGACATCAGAAGCACTTTTATCGGCATCAAACGTTCATTTATTAATGGTCTCATTTGTGTTCTGGTGAAATAAATCGCGTATAAAATACTTAATATCTACGATGGAAATAATGTATCTGTTAATCAAATAGTTGTATATTTACGTTCAAGATCAGGATTACATGTCGTTTCTTTAGTAGATTTATTTTCATTTGCCTCTTTTAAGTTGTCTTCGTTTGTCTCTTGCGTATCATTGACAGGTTGTCGTCCCGTTTCTATTGAATTTGTTGACTCGTTATTTCTGCCATTTTCTTCAAGTTGGAATATCGCTTCAAGCAGAAGTGTTCCAGTAATCTCTGAAATATAAACCGGGTTTTGTAAAATTTATACTCAACGGGTTTCAGGCAAAATATATTGAATCATAACAAATTAAAAGTAGTTTACTTTATAACATATAAATGAAGATGTGAAATTCTGGACTAAACGTTCTTAATAAAGACTGTATTTTCAAGTGAAAAAAAAACTCTTTTCAAATTTCGTGCGTTCGGAGTGCTTTTCGGAATTAACCTTCACTATTAACGCTCAAACACAATTGTTTAAATGCGAGATATGTATAAATAAGTTGAAACGTTATGGGCTATATGACCAAAAGAGACCTTTAACAAGATAGTTTTATTCTTAAAAGAAATATATTTTAACGCCTAAAAATGAAATTACGAGTTAAATAAAACATTTGGATTATTTTGTCTGAAATGTCCCTAGGGATTGTCTTATAGATAAAAACAATACATGTGTTCTTCCGCAGCGCTTTTCTTGATTAACCAGGAATGTTCATAATTTATTTTTTTCTTAATTTATAGTCATAATTTGAAAATAAAAACATGTAAGAAAATTTTGAATTGACAGTACTGTTATATACCTGTCGATCCTGATTTTTGTAGCGAATCATAAGCCTTCTTTACCACACGTTCATCATATCCAAAATCTGCAACCGCCATTACAGCTGGATGATTACTGTATTCAACAGGCTTCGTAACCGGAATTCTTGTTTCTCCTGACGAATTTGGATGCCAATTATTCTCATTCTATAAGATATAGTCTATTTTATTAGAGTATTGTTCGTATCTGCACTAGATTTGAACGCAATACACATACATTTTCGATATTATAAAGCTGACTATATATGACTGACACAATTTAAGATACACGTAACAGGAATTTTGAAATATCAGGAGTTTGATAGAACAATAATTTCGAGATAAAGAGTTAAGGATGACGAGATTCAACTGGTAGATGCAAACATTGAAACTAACATTATAAATCAATGTCAATAAATATAATAGTGTATATGCATTAAAAGTTCAAACCGAGAATTGTTTGATTGGTCTTCTTTAAGCCAATGAGAGCACAACTTAACACTGATTAGTTCACTAATGAACTATTGCATGCATATGGTTGTCATCTTTCAATTCATTGAATGCATATGTAGATATTGCACTAGATAAAACGAACGCATATGATTTTTTGCAAATTTAAATATGTGAACAGAAATTAAAAAAAATCAATTTAAGACATATATCTGTATATCACCAAGCTTATGCGGAATATGTTGGAAATTACCTACATATGACATCAGTTCAAATACCTACATATGACCTTAGTTCAAATACCTACATATGAGCTGAGTTCATTTGTAATTTTTATGCAAAACTTTGTTTCAGCTTTTACATGCAACGAAATAAGCAGTATACCTCATTTGGTAAAATTCTATTCATTTGAACATCTTCTATAAATTTTTCTCCTTTACACTGCAGTAAAAAAGTACACTTCTGGTACCAGCGGGCATGTTCTATCCATGGCTGATCACCTGGTTCCCAGCTCCTTAAACCACCACCACAGAAAAAGCATCGGCAATGGTCGTCTGTTCCTTTAGTAAATAAAATAAAACCTTTAGTCATTCGATTTACTCAGAAAAAAATCTTTGATCAGTTTTCCTCTTAAAATCATAGGCAATTCAACAAAACATTTTTGTTTCTCTAAGATTTGTGTAAGTCATGATGTCCATAATACTGAATTTTTTTGATATTCAGAAGCAAAGAAAAGGAGGAGATTTGAAAATTTTCTGTAACTTGAAAGAATGCAAAATATAGCTCTTTGAATTTACAACATTTTGACATTTTAGAATATCTGGTATAGTAATGTTCCGCTACACATGCATCTCATGATTACAGATGAAATCTTTGCTTTCACTACATTTGGTGTGATGTGTATAAGAATGGATTAATAATAAAAGACATGTGTCGTTTGTCTACATTGTATTATGTCAGCAGTTTGAGATTTTAAAAAAGGACAGAATTACCAGACAAAATTTAATCAAAATTATTTATATTTCATTTTTTTTTTTTTTTACTTTGTCCACAAAAAAATAAAAATTTTACCTGTGAAAAAGAACCCTGCTGTAACCATTTCTTCTGGAGACTGTGTCAAATGTTGCGGCCAATGACTAAATGAATCAAGTCTTACTGATCTTATGGCGTATTTTGGATACTTTGGTTTATCAAGACATACTCCTAACGCTGCTGATTCACTTAGATTGTTTTTCGACGTAGATCTTGTATATACATCTTGTGATATGCTTCCTGATGCATTTAATATTGCATGTTGTGTGTGCGCATAGAATTCAGGAATTCTGATTAAACTGTGTGTGTCATTTGTTGAATAACTGGTGGCGACAGGAGTACCTTCCGTTCTCATGTTGTTTACGTTGCCAGAACTTATTTGATTTGAACACGTGGAATTATACTCTCTGCTCTCGCGTTTTTCATTCTTTGATTTAGAAGATGTTTGATAACTTCTATCATTTGAAATAGATTCCTTGTTATTTGATTCAATTTCATTACGCCCACAAGCACCTGACATATGAGTAGCTTCATCTCGTACTGGTTTTATGTCTAACAAAAAGGAGCAACTTGGAGATATTTGTTTGTGAATCTCAAACGGTGAATCGTAACGTTTCCAGTTTTTGTGCGTTACTCCGCAGCTGTAGCAAACAACTTCATCATCATACCCGGAATAAAAGAACCCAGCTTCCGCTAACCTAGTTGCATATATTCCCGGTATTTCAGGAAATGTTGAAAATGTAGAGAATCGTGCACCTTCAAATTGCATACTTTGCGATTTCTTCTCGTCTTTTAAGAAAATACGAAAATCTTGGGGCAGGAACGGCATAGTTTGAATAATAGACTTTGGTATATTTCGAATCGGTATTACTATGTTATCGAGCAGCCATTTATGTCCAAAATATGGTTCTTCCATCTTCAGAGATCTCTTCCATTTTACTTTAACTTTCATGTTGTGACCACATTTTCCAATCATGGTTTTATGAATAAAAGCATTGAATACACATTTTACAATTAGAGTAATGAACAATGCCAATGTATACAAAACCAATAGACTATTCTTGGATTTTTCGTATGAATGTATTGAAGTGTCTATATCTAATAAAGCACATGCGATTGGGTGACAGTCGCACGTAGAGTAGTATAATTCATAATCAGTATGTTCGTTATTCTTTTGAACTCCGCAGTCGCTGGTTTTCAATGTCTCTTCGTCTGTAAAAGGGATAGTCATTGTAACTGCAAAAAAAATCTTTATGAAATAAAAACGATCGTATATTTGTTTTTTTTTTTGGCAAACAACAGACAAATACATTAAATCAAATGTATGCAGTAATGTCTCAGATTTCAATAAATGTAATGCTTTCGCTACTGAAAAGACATCTGTGTACCATGCTAGATTATAGATATAATAAATTTCTAAAAAAAATTCACAACATTTGTACGCGTTATTGTCATTAATAAAGCTTAATAAACCGTTTAGGAAGTACTCTACACTTATATTTTGTTTTGTCTCAACAAACTTTTGGGTAAATGGTATGAACCTACTATTGTTATTTTGTCATTTGTGTCTGGTATTTTCTTTATATAAATATCAATTCGCCTATTTAAACAAGACTAATTTGTTTCTTTTGTTTCATTTGTTTTATTCAATGTAAATTTAATTTAGGCATTGCACAAGATTGTGTTAGCCTGAACTATTTATAACTTTTCAGTATGCAATCCACACCGAATACAGCCTTCGATATTTCAGGACGGCAAGATTTCATAACACCACGTAATGTACTTTGAGTCTGATTTCAGTAACTACAATACTCATTAGATACTGTGTTGTTAACTATTGGTTTCCTTCTATTACAGTTAAAAAGCCAAATAAATACGAAGCTCTAGAGCATTGAAAACAGAAATTTCTGAAATATTGTACTGAATACGGCTCATACTTTATTTGTTAGGTACGGACCCTCAATCTGGGAAACAGTAAATAAATGATGACATAAATGAAAAATAAAAAAATTATAATGTTTTTTCTTATGAAAAAAGGAATTTGTTTGTATTAAAAAACAAAAGCAAGTCATAAATCAAGATCACCTGCATATTTGTGTCAAGGAACCTTATCATAAAGTTCAATAAGATTAATCAACGTTTTAATTCTAACTAATTTTTTGTTTAACATAAAAATATGAGTACCAACGCTTGATAAGAAAAAAAAACTGTTTAAAGAAGGGTTAAACGAATAGTAAAATAACAAGAAACAGATTATCGGGTTTTTTACGTATGGATATCGTAAAATATCGATAGGTAGAAAGCTCGATAATCTATACATATACAACTGACTATTATATAATTTCTGCAGAATTAAGATGCATAAACACATTATAAATTCACATCATTTCATATATTTTCTACGATTTTTTCTCTTAAAAATTACCTTCTTCCAAGTTTTGCTGATCCCGCCAAAAAATAAGAGTTTCATTACACAATATTTACATGTGTATGTATATACGTCATATTAAGACACTTATGGATATGAACTAATATCTATTTTTAATATATATCTATGATTTGATTATGGCTCGCGAACGATATTTAAATTTACTTTCTTCTAAGTTTTGCTGATCCTGCAAAAAACACGAGAGAGTTTCACAATACAGTATTCATATATGTATATAATTATATTACATGTATGACACTTATCTCCGGAGACACACTAATATCTATTTTTAACATATGATTTAAAGAGATATTATATTTATTTTTAAATTTCTCTGTAAATGATATCTATAATTAAGTATACACGTATAATTGCCCTTATTTTTATGTTTTAATCTTATTGCCATAAATGTATAATAATGCTAGTATATAAACTTCCATTTGTATTTACTTTAAAAAATAACCTTCTTCAGATACAATGGAAACTTAGTTAGCTTGTTATGAAACTCTCTTTTTTTTTGGCGGGATCAGCAAAACTTGAAAAAAAGGTAATTTTAGACTCACTATGATTTGTATTTATGAATGATATTTCTGGTTTCTATTTAATCCTGTTCAACTTTTAAATTCGGGATGCATGATACTTAATTTGTCAAATTTTCACTTACAATATGAAACATGTCTGAGATGTTACATTTGCATCAAATCTATCTTTTCCGTATTGATATTTTACACATCATCATGACCATGGAGATCATACTATCGTGATGTTCTTTGCTGTTTATATGTTCCTTTATAAAATTTACAGGAAAGTACAACAACCGATATTAGAGTTGAAAAAAGGCATTATATCTATATTAGAAGATTTTGACCACATCTGTTAAATCAATTTTTATTGAGTTTAATATTCTTTTAAATTACATAGAGAAAAATATCTGCAGGCGGAGGAAAAATCGAATGTTTTTTATGAATCAACTTCTATTGATTTTTAACTTAAAGTATCTAAAATGTTTAAGTTTTCTCATTAGCAATCATACCAAATCTCCTTATTTTATTGGGAAAAAACATAAGCAATTTTAAATTGCTTTTGTATAAGAAAAATAATAGCTATCAAATACATAGCTGTGAGATAGAAGCATGTTTTGTGAATTTTTTAAAAGACTATTAATTTTATCATCGTGTAAATATACAGTTATAGAAATACGTTCAATTGTTAGGTCAACAATGATACCAGGCTTCTTATTAAGACTACATAAGACCAAGGAGGTTATATATAACCTCCTTGATAAGACTCATCAGTTGTGCTCAAATCAAAACAGTTAAAAGTCCGAATGAATACGAAGTGAAAGAGCATTGAAAACATAAAAATCAGACAAGTTATGTCAAATACGGTTTAGGCTATCTTTGCCTGGAAAGGATCCCTTTTATCTTGGAAATAGTAAATGAAAGTATAAAGGAAAAATTATAAGAATTCAGTTGTTTGAAGAAACACATGTATTGTACGCTCAAAATCAAGATCACCTTTATCTTAAAAGTTCATTAAGATTGACCAACTAAATTATTATTGACTTAAACATGTACTTATCGATAATGTCATTCTGGTAAAATTTAAAAGTATGGCACGCGGGAACCACATCAATGAGATAATCACAGTTTATCGGGGATAATGATAAATTATCGGTCGACCATTATAGATGTACGCCGTAAATTATAATTATCAGTCGTAAATGCATTTACGAAATTATCGTCGACAATCAATCATTATCTATGATAAATGAATTAACGCTCGACAATCTATATTAAATGAACGCGGGAACCACATTATTGGATAAGAACAGATTAACGGGGGATTCGTTAATGCATTTACGCCCTGTTTTCAATAACAATTCATATGTACCCAATCACAATGCGTAATCGACCATGCTAAATAATTTCGTCCAATCATATCCATCGATTCAAATGACAACACATTCAAGCCAAATGGATCGTCTAGATAATTATCACCAACCGTCAATTGCATGAATTGATAGTGTATAAGAATTGAATAATTGGTTTTTGGTGAAATTAATACAAAATTAATATAATGCAAGTTTAAAGTTATTAATATTTTTACGTTTGCAACAGACAGGAATCCTAGGATTAGTATACTAATGATAATATTACTAAGTAAATAAATTATAACTGGCACTAATTTCATATATAATTATGGCAATCCGTTGTTGCATTTATTCTCTATTTATTAATGTTAATTTTACATTTTATAATATTAAAAAGTAGTTTTTTGATATAAATAAATCTAATTTTTAATATAAAAAAATTTCAGTCGGATATATTAATATTTTCAAGGATTTGTATAGTAAGTCTTACTATTCAAATCCTTCATATTTTTAAATGCGTTTTTAATATAAGTTAATGCTGATTTTTGAATGTTAAAAAAATCATTTTTTAATATTCAAAAATCGACATCAATGTAACCGTTGGCCTAACTGGCAGATTTACCGGGGGCACGTGCCTCCCAGTCCAGTTCAACAAAAACAAATTCTAATATAATATTGTATTGCTACTGAATTTAGAGAGGAAGTTAATCACATCTTGATTTGACTTTTTAACTGGCCGTTAATTAACCCCAGCTTCAACATGTGTGATTTGTGACAAAAGAGGGACGAAAGATACCAGAGGGACAGTCAAACTCATAGATCGAAAACAAACTGACAACGCCATGGACAACTTATCGGTAGATGTGTCAATATTGACACTTGTGTGTAATGTCTCTTTTCAAAAGATTTGATGTAAACTATTTACATGTACATTGATTTTGGAGATGATTGAATGGGTCTTATTTCTAACGGTAATAATTTCCATGCACGAATTGAAGAAGGGGAAAAAGATTTAGAAAATATGTCCAATCTACATCTCGTTACTCTATAGTGATAACGGTTTCTAGTATTATAATTGACAAGAATGTTAGTATCGATATACGGGATATGTCTTCATTAAAAAATTCTCACATTACCATTTTTGTGATTTTCTTTCTTCAAACTGTTTTTTTTTGTGTGAATTTATTTAACAAGAAACTTTTTTTTTCTAACAGATTTTTTTTTAAACTGAATGTCGTTTTTTTCTTTTCACTCCTATTTTCAAAGGAAACCAACACTTTGTTTAAAAACAAACTGCATGCACCCACCTTCTTACTACAAACAAAAAATTTGATTGTCATTTTCTGATATATAATCATTAATAAAACGCAATTAAATATCATAAAAAATAATCTTGAACTATGATACATTTATCTATTTATCCAAGCATACATTTATATATATGACAGTATATTTTTACCTGTTTCAATTACCATGTACATACATGTATGAGGCTAGGAACGGGTCACCATTTCTAGGGATATGAATGGGGTCCGAGACATTTAATATATGTATCTGATGGGGTTAACACAAAAGAGAATGATGGGACCAATAAATATCAATAAATATAAATAACAGAATAAAGAGGTGGTTGTTGGTTGCTAAACGTCCAGTGGCAAATATTACATGTATGCTTAGGACAATTAGTGGCAAATATTACATGCATGCTTAGGACAATTATAATACAGATCAATTGGCAGAAGAACAAAGAATACAGTGAAACGGTATAGACTTATAGAAACGACGATCTGACACCCTCTTCCCTATTACTACCACACTCGCATATATACATCGCTAAATAAATATTTAATTTTGGTCCCTTGGTTCTCTTTTTTCTGGAACATTGATTGCATTCTCTACAAGTTGGCTTTCCTATGACACAACTATTTACCCTTG